TTGCTTTGTATCTATGCATTGTGAGTTCCAAGATGGTTTGTAACAGTCACCAAGCATTGATGATGGTTAAGAATGAGATTATTTTTTATCTGGCAAGGTCCCAGAAGGTCTGCTTCTATAGTAGAATGTCCTTGCATGACCATCAGGCTACCGGGTATCCCAACTGAGACTCCAGGTGGGTCTTACATGTATAAATCAGTAGTTCTTGACTTTAGAGAGAAACTGGGTGCTGAGAAAATCTCAGAGAAGGAAGACACTTGGGGCTCACATATGGCCGCTCTGCTGTTACTATAAGATAGCCTTTACCTATAATGCTCACCTTTACTGTAATGTAATAGTCATATCATTTTCTGTAATAAACTGTCGGTTCTAAGTATTATCATGTTGGGCTTTGTGGGTCTTCTCTGCAAAGGTGCTATTAGTGTGATTCTAAGAACTGAGGTTTCCAGAGCTTGACTTTGATCCTTACAACCTGAAAGAGTCCTGAGTGAGTCATCAGGGGATGGATTGAAAGTGGGAGTAGGCCAGGTAGCAGTTGATTAAAGTAGTTCTCTCAAGACTGGAAAGTCTGAAAGAAGTAGCAATGGTAGTCTAGAAGAAGGGAGGGTCAACCAAATAGAGATGTAGAATTAACAGTGTGGTTCAGTGACCGACTAATGGGATATAGTCAGAATATAAGGAGACTATGAGGAAGGAGGCAATGATGATGTGGGTTTCAACATTGGACAATAAATATAGCTATGATAATTATTATTTGAACAATATCTATAAAATACTAAGAAATATTTGTTTGAAGAAAGCAGTGAGGATCAGAGCTAATTTTATATTCTTCCAGGCAGAGATAGAAAAATCTAACAAGAAAACCAGAACATAATTTTTAAAAAGATATATTAATATATATATATGTATATATATAAAACTTCTGTTAGGAAAGAATACCCCTTGTTTGGTATCAATGAAACCACTTACTGTTTATGCTCATTATTCATTCATTCGGCCAAATAACACCAAGTGCTACTATGATCAAGAAGCACTACTGTGGTGTATATGGAGTCCTCTGACCTCAAGGGGCTTATCATGTAATTCCATTAGGTATTTGGCATTAGAGAAATTTGTGTAAAGTAGAAGAGTTTGATAAGAGTTGAGGACAACCATAAAGAAAAAAATAAATTATGAAATAATGATCACAGTTTAAAAATAAGACCGTAATTATGTAAATACTTTGCTAGTCTACGTTTTACAGTGGAAGGAAAAGTCGTTCATTCTTCTAGTCCCTATGCAGTTCTCTTCTTCACCCTGAAGTCAGGGTGGTTGAACCATATTTACAGAGTAGCACATGACTGTCTACAGAGGTCATGAGACTTGGTCATACACAGATATGCACAGACTGAGAAACTAGGATTTCAGGGACTGCCTTGGAAACATGTTTGGAATTTCCATGCTCCTGACCATGGTCCATATGTATTAAACAAAAAATTAATGTTTACAAAACTTTAACTAAAGAAGTTATAAGTCAAAATTAGTGTCACGTTGTGCCTGAAGTAACTATGTTCTGTCTAAACAAATATTGCAAGGTTCCTATAAACCTCGTCTAATGTTGATGTAACTGGGGTTTTGCTTTTAAAAATGCTGTACCCCTGAGGGTGGCACCAAGAGACATTGAGGCATGAGCCTACTCTTGGTCACTGGCCAAAATGAAAGGACTCATATACTCTTAATTTGTTTAATAATATACTCTTAACTGGCTTAATCAACATGGTTGTCTGCGTCTTTCTCATGTGGATTTATTACTGGTAGACACAAGAATAGAAGGGGGAAATTAAAACTTTGAAGTAGGGTTTTTCAACTTCAGTACCAAAGAAAGAGAGACTAGCTACAGATCTCCCTTATCCAGTTATATCAGTTCCCCTTTCTGCCATTAACTGGACCAGCTCTGCCCTGGATCTCCCAAACCAGAGCTGTGTTCATTATAGAGAAGATATCTGTTACTTGTTTTGAGCTTGAAGAAGACACAGAAAGCAGCAGGAATTAAGGACTAAGTTTTCCTGGTTCCTGCTGATGTTGTCTCTACAACACAGGCTTAGAGTCTGTTCAAGGCAAAAACACCTTGATATGATCCATCCTGTTGGTAAAGAGAAAGTCATTACAAACCACTATATCAAGAAGAACATGGGCTCAAGGGGTAAATAATTTGCTCACAGTGAATACTGAGTCCAGAGGAAATTAAATCCAGGCTCCAATGTGCTGGGTTTTTTTAAATTTTGTTTTGTTTTTTGTTTTTCTTTTTGTTCTTTGGGGGCCTGCCACCCAGCTCCCAAATAAATACATAGACTTATTCTTCCTTATGAATGCCCAGCCTTAGCTTGGTTGTTTCTAGGCAGCTTTTCTTAAATTATCTCATCTACCTTTTGCCTCTGGGCTTTTACCTTTCTCTATTCTATATACTTCTCTTTCCTTCTTTTTCCATGGCTGTCTGGCCCTTGGAGTCCTTCTCTCCTTCTCCTTCTCCTTCTCCTTCTATTTATTCTCTCTGCTTGGCAGCCCCACCTGTCCCTCTCCTGCCTAACTATTGGCCATTCAGCTCCTTATTAGACTAATCAGGTGTTTTAGGCAGGCAAAGTAACACAGCTTCACAGAGTTAAACAAATGCAACATAAAAGAATGCAACACATCTTTGTATCATTAAGCTATATTCCACAGCATGAACAAATGCAATACATCTTAAACTAACATTCCACAGCATGCATGGGTCTGTGCTGTGCTCTCCCACTGGCCTATGTCAGGATGGCACGTGAAGTGCATTAAGCAATACCTCAGCTCTGGCAGTGCTGGCAGCAATCCATTAATTATGGCATCTATCTACTCCTAGGCAGGAGAAATTGACTCTGTAATTACCACCCTAATGATGTCTTTTGTGTTAACAGGCATATAACATTTATTTCATTCACCTGGAAGAAAATTGAAGAGTCCTCTTTAAAAAAAAAAAATCCCCAAAGTCCAGGAAAAATAGACTAGAGATCATGATTTGTCTTTATCAGTTTTGGAACATCTTTGAGATGAGGAGGTAACAGTCATTTAATAACAATTATTAAAATAATGTGTGAAGGCTTCTTAGAACAATGCTTAGCACATAGAAAGTACAATACACGTGCTTTCTCTTTCCAATATTACGTAGAATAAGTGCTCACCAGAGCTGGTATTTCCTTAGATAGAATATAGAGACAAAGCAACATGGCATTATGATGTCTGAAAGACATGGTCCAACGTATACAGTAGACAGGGCTATGGTGCAATCTTGTTGAGTCCAGATTGTCTTAAAAACTTCATTCCATTTCTCCAGGCAGCTACCACCAATCATTTGGCATAGCCACCTGACATAAAACCTTTGCCGTTGCAGCTTCTGAGCTTACATTCGGAGCCCTCAGGAACTCACCGTGCAATGGGTCTGACCAAGCCCAGTTATTCTAAGCATCTTCAAGGCTTTGCAGTTCAGGCTGGAGTGAAACTGAGGTCACGCCTACCTGGCTACTACCACACCCAGACACTTTCATGTTTGACCTCCTTACACTCCTTGGAATTCTCAAGTTTTAGATAGTCACACTGAAGAATGCCTCTTTAGTATGAAGAGGTCTCGGTTTTGCTCAGGTGTTTAGAATGAGTCCTCTTTTGAATCAGAGTTGAAAGATACTGGTTTTGCTTGGTAAACTGGTTGTCCTGCTGCACAAGGGAGATGAACCACTAATTACACAAAGAAGAAATTGTAAACTGAAATACGTCAAATGTATCTTGGACAGCTATTTTTATTTTAAACTTCAACATGAGGTAAAATCCTACTTTTGCTTCTTCTGTATTTTAAGAGGGATGAAAGCATATATTTAAACAGTCTATAATGTAACTTACTACTTGTCCATACAAGATAGGTTGGGACTGTTTATTCCCACAGTTTTAACCAAGTTCTAATGCTGACTATAACTTTATTTTATTTTTAAAAGCTTTTCTTTATTCTTGATATTCTCACATGTGTATACAATGAAATATGACCATACCTATCCCCACTGTCTCCCTTTAAGTCTCCCACCATGTCCTCTTCCAATTTTATGTATTTTCTCTTTCATTTTTTGATAACATACTAAGTTCAGCTCGTGCTGTTCATATGTGCATGGGTGTGGGACCATCTGCTGGAGCTTGGGGAACCTCCCAGCTGCCCTTTCCTTAATAAACGATTCTCCCTCCAGTAAACTGTGATGCCAATAACTCCTCAGTATGGGGTGAGACCTGGAGACCATCTACACCATCGATGAAGGGGATTTTGAAGGCTTGATCCTGCAGAAGATCGGTCACATTTTGTTTTCCAATTTTTTCATGGGAGTTAGCAATATCCAACCTTACTCTAATCAATGTTTATCACTATGACAAAAATTTAAATTTTATTTTAAAAATAGTTTAGGGGGCCGAGGAGATGGCTCAGTTAGCAGAGAATCTGCAGAACAATTGTGAAGACCCGTGTTCCGTTACCCAGCATCCATGTAAAACGTGGGTGCAGTGGGGTTGTCTATGACCTTAGTCCTGTGGTAGTAGAAGCAGAGACAGGTGGATCCTTCGAGATCTTTGGCAAGGAACCCTGTCGTATAAAATAAGGGGGAGAGCAACTGAGAAAGACACCTGAGATCAACTTATAGCGAATGACATGTGTATACAGATGCATGTACACCTGCATGCACATTTGTGAACAGCCTCCACCCTCACATATATACCTAAACGCGTAAAAAATCACATATAAATATTTTACGTACATCACGAGTCACAGCTGTACGTGTCACTGTGAAAACTATCTTTGCTTTAGATTTTCAAATCCCTCAGCCTAGAATTAATAAACGATCAGGAAGTGATCTCCTGCAATCAGGAAGTGATCAGCTGCAAGTCATCCTGCAGTTGCCTCGCCCTCCCACCTGGATGTTTCTACTTCCTGTTATTCTTGTCATAGGCACAGTCAAGCTGGACCGAGGTTTTTAGGAGTAGTCTTAAGGAGGCTAATTGTTGGTGTGCTGACGAAGTAAGATGACCCAGGAAACATAGGTGATCCAGCTCCCTTTAGCAACGTTCCACAATGCTAAGCTTCCTCAAATCCTCCTCGCTGTTATGAAAGGTACGTTTCAGTGTCTGTGAGAGCAACCAACCCCCATCCAGGATGCTCGTCGGTGTCTCATGCCATCCACAGCAGAATCAGCTTTGATGTAGGAATCTATGCCCCCATCAGCTGTAAGAGAACTTTTAACCATTCTTATCACATTGAAAATTAATTAAAATTGTATTTTGTGTGTGTGTGTGTGTGTGTGTGTGTGTGTGTGTGTGTGTGTGTGTGTATGCTTGGATATGCATGTTAGAGTCCGCATGTTGTCAGAGGACAGCCCACAGGAATCCGTTTGCTCCCGTCACCGTGTGGGTCCTGAGGATCAAACTCAGGCCATCAGGCATGGCAGCAGGCGACTTTACCCACTGAGCCATCTTGCTGATTCTCTTTTAAATTTCGTTTTTTAAAAACATATTGTGAAATAATATAAGGAAGAAGATTCTTACATTTGGGGTGTGATATTCCTCTGATGTCTCTATAAAAAGTTCCTCGTGTGGAATTTTTATAATGGATTCCTTCTGCATTTTCTGGTCCCAGTGTTCCTGCAGATATTCCTTTCCCAAGTGAGCAGTGCACTCCTCGGACACATGTCTATGACCTCACATCCCAAGTAGGATGGGGAGGGAGGGAGGGATTCCTTCTACCACGAGTTTTTATTTTGATTTTTAAAAGCTTATTCACCAGTGGTGGGCTGGGACACCAGCTTGCTAGTATTGCGTGTTGTGGGTATCAGTTAAAGGAGTGATAGCAAGAGCATTTGGGGCAGAGCACCAAAATTATATGAAGAACTCACCAACAGAGACAGTAGGCCTGTGAATGAGACTGTTTTCGTTGAGTTGGTATTTGTACAAGGCGACACCCTCTTTCACACCGCCTACCTCCTCCCTGCGTGACTCAGTGTTGAGAGAGAAGCCTGTAAGCTGTTCATTAACAGAGTCAAGTGGAGGTGGGAACTGCACCTAGGAAACTCCAGGTGCCCATTTGTTTCAGCCAGATCCACTTGGGGAATCACTGTGGGCCAGTTAGCCAAGAGTTTTGGGTTTCTGCGCAAGAAAGGTAAGTTGAATTCTACTTGCAAAAATAAACACAGCTGCTTTGCTTTTTGTGCATAACTTTCTCGGCTTTCCCTCCAAACGATTCAGATCAGGGCTGTCTGCATTACCTTTGACTTGTTTCCAGCTAGATTTTGACAGCCTCTGATGAGTATTCTGTACGCCCGTAGCTCTGCACTTCCAGTTTCCATGGCTTTTAACTTGGCTATAGTACACATCACCGCGTCACAGAAATGGAGAGCCCTTTGAATTTCCCGTGGGAGCTGGCAGTTTTCGAATTCTACTTCACATAAAGATAATAAAGCTCTCAATCAGCACTCACTGGTCTGTTTTCTCCAGTGACTATAAAATTGGTTTATAAAAAGATCTTCCTGTTTTCACAGATGATGTTTCTAATGAAATTTTAAACTTTATTGATTTACAAATAGTGTCATTTTTTTTTTCTCAACTGTGACAAACACTGCTAACCCACTCAACCTTATTCTCTTCGGGTAGGAAAATCACCTTTGCTTATGTGAGAGAACCGTGGAATGGTGTGGAGGAAGGATGGGGTGACATGGAGATGTGTGGTTCTTCACAGGGGTCTGTGTGCATGTGTGTATGTTAGGTTCTGAATTAGCTTGAGAATGGATTAAAGAATGCAGAGGCAATTTTCAACCTCTCTGCCCATCTTATGCCTAAAAACCCAGCTGGCTTGTCTGCCTCCTCCCTTTTTTCCTTTTATCACTTCTGTTTATGATAGAGTAGTGGGAATAAAGCACAGCTTGTAGTAGCCGCCCCTTCCTCCTGAAAACCCGGCTGTTTAAGAACTAGAGGTTTCATTGCTTTCTTGACTGACTGAGCCACCGAAGTCTCAGTGGCTGAGACGCAAAGGCTTACTGATGAATTTGATGACTTGGTTTTTTAACATGAGTAGGCAGTAGGATGCCCAAGGATAGCATATATGGAGTGCAGTTTTGTTTTTCATGAAATTGAAAACTGGCTTTCACTTCTGTAGATGACACAGAGATGCCCTTTCTGACACTGGCCATGCTCTAGTAATTACAATATTGGAAAAGCTAAGCAGTTAAGAGTTTACTGAGACATTTGGATTCTAAATGTCAAGACATACAGAGAATGCACGGAAACAGGTCAGAATTTTATAGAAATTTAGGTATATGTACATCTTAGCATCTCATTGGTATAAATTTTCAACTGGAAGGGAATTATGGGATCATCTAGTCCAGCCTTTGCATTTTCTTTTAAAAACATATTTATTACTATTATTATTATTAGTGTGTGTATGCATGTTTGTACATGTGTGATATGTGTATGAGTATGTAAGTGTGCATGCCATAGCATGCATCTGGGATCAGAGGACAATTTTCAGGAGCTGTTTCTCTTCTTCCACCGTATTGTGGCAGCATCTCTCTCCTGTTTCTGCTGTGTGGTGTATTGCAGTCTAGCTGGTCCATGAGCTTGGAGGCAATCATCCTGTTGCTGAGTCTTAGTTCACTGCTGAGGTTACACACATGTGGTACCATGTTGGCCTTTTTACTTGGTTTTCAGGGATCAAATCAGGTCTCTAGGCACTGAGTCACCTCACTGGCACTACCCTTTGAATTTTCTAGATGAAGACAACAAAGAATAAGTATTAGGCAACCTTCCAGGCCCAGAGCAGCAGAACCAGATTGTGGAGTCAGATCTCTGTCATTTGCCTTATTAGATTTTCTCAATGATTTTTATAAAAAGTAGTAATAAAATGAACTATGCTCTATCTTTATAAAAGGACTGCAAGTGATATGTAAACAAGTATGCCCAACGCTCTTGCAGTGTATGTGGTGTGATTTTGACATAGAAACACAGTTGTATTTTGTGATGTTTGGGCTTGGTCTTTTTATTTTTTTATACTTGTTGGGTTAAATACTAAGCCCCAGCAGTCCCTCGGCATGCAGTTGTCTGACAGACATGTGCAGGCCCTAGTCTGGCCCTCACAGTCAGCATCCCCTCGCCTCCACTGCCTTTCCACAGGCTGGTTCCTGGGCTGTCTTCTCTGACTGTCAGAATTCTGATTGCTCTTCTTCAGAGAGTCCCATTCCTGGGAACTTCGTAAGCAAAACAGAAGTGTGTTTTGAGTGATTGACTACATACTGTGGAATGAACTTCGTATGGTCCCCCAGGCAGTCAACTCAAGAAAACATGATTTCAGATAGCATCTGGTATGGTGGATGCATTAACTCCAAGCATTCCTTAAGAGCAAGGAGATTAAACTCCTTAGTCCAGGAGTCTTAGAGAGAAATCTTAGTTGTTTCCTCCATTTTTTCTACCGGCAGTATCCCACTTCTCAACCATTTGTAGATCCTTTTCTATTTTCTCATCTCAAGAACTTTGAAATCAATAATGGTTGTAGGTATTAGTTCCTATATACCTACCTGTAGCTGCCTGGTGCTCCCCGTTTGCCACAGTGCAAAGCTATTATGATTTCCAGATTTGGTCGAGGCTCTTCCTCAGGTATGTGCTTTGCAAATGGCAGCTTGATTTATTATGCTGGTGTTTTATGTCAGTTGCCAAATTCTTTAAAGATACGGATTGTCCTTTTATTGTGGTTGTTAATTGAAAGAGTGAATTTTATGTTAAAGGCCAATAGGCTCATATCTAGACAAGAAAACAAGCAGCCCTGACTGCTCATTGTAATTGCACACTCAAGAACTCTAAAAATCTAAATAATTTATCCTTAGTCTCTAAACCCAAGGTTCTTAGCTCTAAAATGTTAGTAAATCTCCTTTATGTGGACATTCCCTTAGAAAACAATGAACTAGTTATTACGTTTATTGCAGCACAGACATCCTTGGACACTGCAGTAGGCTTCCCAAAGGTACATAAGAATTACACGGTCAGCAAAGTATGTCTGCACACAAAACTAACTTCACTTAAAAGATCTGTCCCATGAATCATTAAGGATGCTGTGTGCAAAAACTTAAAAGGCATCTGTATGCAAGAAATTCAAGGGGTTGTCCCCCAGATAGGCTTGACCTTGAATCAACCAGAACTAGAAATGGTTCATGATAGGACTCAGATGACAGGTAATTTTTATGAGATTGAAATGGGTATTCAATCAGTGTCTCTGTAGGATGAAATGGACAGTTGTCCCAGTAATCAGGATGTCACGTGGGTGATATGTCAAATTATTCCATAGCAAGGATCAGGAGAGTTTCATGTATTAAAACCAAGAACTATCAGAGAGTCAATTTTATATGTTAGGGTGTTATAAAAATAGAAAACCGATAACATTCAGAGATCTGGATAGCAAAAGATTTCATTAGTGCTAAATTTTGGATTTTTTTTTTTTTTTTTTTTTTTTTTTTTGGTTTTTCGAGACAGGGTTTCTCTGTGTAGCTTTGCGCCTTTCCTGGAACTCACTTGGTAGTCCAGGCTGGCCTTGAACTCACAGAGATCTGCCTGCCTCTACCTCCCGAGTGCTGGGATTAAAGGCGAGTGCTGGGATTAAAGGCGTGCGCCACCACCGCCCAGCTGGATTCCTTTTTTTATCATCAAGATTCCCACTGCTAAGCTTAGGCTCTTGGCCTGTGGGAGAAAATAAATGGCCCATTCCTAACCATCTTAATAGACTAAGTCCAGGCCAGCTAAGAAGTCTGCATTTCTTTCATTGGGTAAAACTCAACAGAGATGTTGACCGTGGTAAAGCCGTTTGCAAATTAACCTAAAAGGCTTGTCAAAATGGAAATATATAACTAAGATACTTAGAACTATTTATTTGTCTTCCCCTTTCCTAACATTTCAAGGTTTTGGGGTGATAATAGCTCTTTGAGGACAGTCCTTCTCTTTACAGGTCTGTCATCATTGGGTCTCTCTTCTTCTTCTTTTGAAAATAGTTTTACAGCAGTTGTCCTCTTCCTATTCTTAGGGATTCTGCCTGTCACACTGATTTCCAAGGAACAAAGTACCCAGGACTTCTTTATAAAC